TATCCCCCCCCCCTCCTCTCAAAAAAAAAAAAAAAAAAAAATAAATAAAAAAAAAAAAAAAAAAAAAAAGCTCAGCCTTGGTAGTAGTTAGAATTCCTGTGTTTGAATCACAGGCTACCATTTCCTTAGTTGGGGTGAACTTGAGCAATTACCTCTTTATACCTCAATTTCCCAGCTGTAAAATGAGAATAACAGTATTTTACCTCTTGAATGGATATGAAGGTTAAATGATCTCATATTTGTAAAGTGCTTGTAATAATTTCCTAGCATGTAGTAAGGGCTCAATAATTACAAATAGCTCTCTATTCTCTTAATGAGAAAGCGCTATTCCCCCAATTTACCATGGATACAGGCTTTACCCATAGGTCCACAGAAGCTTTTACTCTTAAATGAATGAATCATTGGCCAAGTAGCTCTACCAAGTAATGTAAGAACAAGTAAGTCAGTGTGCCATCCTTACCTATTTTAGAAGGACCATTCTCAGCGGAAATTTCAATCAATAATTTCTTCATATTGTGGAGATTTAGAAATTCTTCAGGAATAACTGAAAAAACATTTTTTTTGTCCATATTCACAGACAATTCTTTCAGGCATGGGAACTTGTCCAAATTAGGAAAGAGTTGATCTAGAAAACAGCACACAGTTTCCCGTTATTTATGTAAAGAGTTCCAAAATGGCAAATTTGAAACTGTCATTTTGATTCATCACACTATTTTCACATGAAAAGTTTTCACATACTGTTACTGGAGAAAAGCGTGTCTAACCCCCTTGTTAGTGGGAGTGGGGTCCTTGCCATATGCCAAGAAACAGAATTTTCTGAGACTTGCACAGGAGGATGCAATATGGCAGAAAACTTTATTTCTGAGGAATTATATCCCTGAGTTTCCAAAGCCCTATTTCACTCAGAAGTGTAGCTGGAGTTTCAGTAGGGCTAAAATCAGAGCCGGTATCCAGAATTATAGTTCCATGTTGCAGCTGGGCCCAATACAACCATTAGGCTAGCTGCAGTCCATTAGTTCATTAGTCCACTGTGTGTGTGGGCCACTTAGGAGAATGCCAGTAAGCCAAGCATGAGCCAAGTGTGCCAAGAGGAACCAAGAGAGTGAACTCCTTTATTCAGGGGATTAAATATCCCAAATTTCCAAGCACTTACAGTGGCCACACCCATTCTGGCCAACCATCTCTCTCCCCGGGTGTGACTGACAGACAAACCCCTTCCCTCTGTCATCCCAGCCTTACTAGGCATGCCTCTATCTTCCCTTGGTTGGATCTCTCCCCAGTGTTCTTTAGGGCACATGCTTATAATGTCTGGTCTTCTCTTTGCTCCTTTCCAATTTTTTATAACTAGCTAATTACAAGGTGTCAATACCATAAAACATTCTTTTCTAGAAAGTACATATATGAAGATACTGCTTTATGCAGCACTTATTGATTACTGTGTGGGAAGCCTTGTGCTACTGTCCAGATTCACAAAAATAAGACCTCGTCTCAACAAATACAACTGGATTTCCACATGCAGAAGAATGAAGTTGGACTCCCTACCTCCCAGCACCATATACAAAATTAACTCAAAATGGACCAACAACTTAAATATAAAAACTATACAACTCTTAGAAGGATTCTTAGATATGCTACTAAAAAGCACTAGAAATTGGACTTCAATCCAATTTAAAACAGTGCATCGAAGGACATCATTGAGACATTGAAAAGACAACCTACAGTATAAGAGAAAATATTTTCAAACCATACATCCAATAAGGATTTAATATCCAGAATATACAAAGAACTACAACTCAGAACTAAAAGGCAATACAGTTAGCCCTGGCTGGTTTGGCTCAGTGGATAGAGCATCAGCCTGCGGACTGGAGGGTCCTGGGTTCAATTCCAGTCAAGGGCAATGCTATGGAAGATTTTAACACCTCTGTCTCTGTGATGAATGGACCAAGTAAATAAAATTTTTAAGATTAGAATTTTATTCACCAGACATGGAAAACCCTGAACTCCACTATTAGAGAATACATAATATTCTCAGGCATTTAGAGAATATCTATATGACGTGATCACATCAGGAGACAAAGCAAATCTAAAACACCAAAATTATAGAAATACAAAAATGGTTTTAATATTAGAAAATCTACTTATCTAATTCTTCAACCTTAATAGATTTGTTTTTAAAAAATCAAATTATCTCCACTGATATTAAAAAGCATTTGATGCCAAAACCGGTTTGGCTCAGTGGATAGAGCGTCGGCCTGCGGACTGAAGGGTCCCAGGTTCGATTCCGGTCAAGGGCATGTACCTGGGTTGCGGGCACATCCCCAGTAGGAGATGTGCAGGAGGCAGCTGATCGATGTTTCTCTCTCATCGATACTTCTAACTCTCTATCTCTCTCTCTTCCTCTCTGTAAAAAAATCAATAAAATATATTTTAAAAAAAATTTTTTTTTTGATGAGAATGTGGAGAAATTGGAGCCACCCTCCCCTCCGCCCCCATGCCCTGCCCTGTACAATGGTCATGAAAATGTAAAATGGTACAGCCATGTCTGGCCAGTGTGGCTCAGTGGTTGAGCATTGACCTATAAACCAGGAAGTCACGGTTCCATTCCTGGTCAGGGCACATACCCAGGTTGCAGGTCAATCCCCGGTAGGGAGCGTGCCGGAGGCAGCTGATCAATGATTCTCATCATTGATGTTCCTATGTCTCCCTCTTACTTCTCTGAAATCAATAAAAATATATTTTTAAAAATTAAATAAAAATGGTGCAACCACTCTGGAAAATTAAGAGATTTGGAGATTTCTCAAAAATTAAGTAAAATTACTATTTGCCTTAGCCCGTTTGGGTCAGTTGTTAGAGCGCCGGCCCATGATTAAAGGGTCCTGGGTTCTGTTCAAGTCAAGGGAACAAACCTTAGCTGCATGCTCAATCCCCAGCCCTGGTTGGGGTGCGTGTAGGAGGCAACCAGTCGATGTGTCTCTCTAGTGTTGATGTTTTTCTCTCTGTCTCCCCATCCCACTATGTAAAAATCAATGGAAAAAAATATCCTGTGGTGAGGATTAACAAACAACAAAAACAAAATTACTATTATTAATATGATGAAGCAATTCCATTTCTAAGTAAATATCTAAAAGAATTGAAAGCAGGGTCTCAAAGAGATATATGTACACCCATATTCATAGCAACATGACTTACAATAGCCAGAAGAAATAATACAAAGCAAAGCACACCTAGACATATAGCAAACTGTTGAAAAACCAAAGCCACAAGAGCAAAAAGTAGAAATGGGGAAAAAAAATTAAATATTATTTACACAAGTATTAAAAAACACAAGTACCTAAGAATAAATTTAATGAAAGAAATAGAAAGCCTACACTGAAAACTTGCAAGCATTACTTAAAGCAGTGAAAGGAGACACAAGTGGGAGATATTATTTCCCATTTATTTTCCAGACAGTACAGTGTAAGCTCTTCCTTCCACTTATCAGATAGGGTGAGGGCAATCCTCAGGCATCATCTTTACGTACAGATCATTCTTTTACTAATAAGTAATTTGTGTCTGCTTATTATTATTTTTATCTGAGTTGTTTGAAATTAGTTAATTTTCATTAATTTTTATCTGAGCTGTTTGAAAAACATTCTTTTTTTTAGAAGATATATATATATACACACACATATATATATATATACATATATATATGCTTTTATTTTTTTCCATTGATTTTTAGAGAGAGTGGAAGGGAGAAGGAGAGACAAACATCACTGTGAGAGAGACACATCTATTGGTTGCCTCCCACACATGACCCCACCAGGGCCGGGGATCAAGCCTGCAACCAAGGTATATGTCCTTGACCGGAACTGAACCTGGGACCCATCAGTCCACAGGCCGACGCTCTATCCACTGAGCCAAACTGGTTAGGGCTATGCTTTTATTTTTTAATTGAAAACCAAAATGCATTCTACTGGGAAATATTCTAAGAAACGGGTCTACAATTCCCTCAGTTACCCATTTTCCATTCCTGTTTTCTTTCCAGCTCTTTTTAAAAAAATATTTTTTTCTTTATTGATTAAGCTATTACATATGTGTCCTTATTCCCCCATGGCATGCATACATGTCTTTTGGTTGATATCTCCTCCTTACCCCCACCCTCCCCTACTTCCAACATTCTATTTAGAAGCCTTTCACTAATTCATACTACTGACAAAAATAAATTACTGAAGGTTTATATTATATCTATTCTATCAGCAAGCATTTATGGTCTCATGCTTTCAGAAGTTTTATCCACCTAAAACCAAGAGTAAGCAAATAAAATTACTATCAGAATAGCCAATTAAAATATATTCATACACACACACACACACACACACACCTGTTATCTGGGTTGTTCCTGAGACTTCGAGGGATTCCAGGGAAGGCAGATTGAGAAGCAATTCCTGTTCTACTGCATTCAGCTCAGATTCATTTATGGAGCACTTGGTGAAAGAAGCTTTATACTGCTCAATAGCTGGGCAAAGGCTTTCAATAAAGCCCCTGCTTCCCCTTAAGTGAAGTTCAATGTGCTGTGAAGCTGAAAAAACTGCCATTAGAACCCTGAGCGTCTCTTGGTCCACACCATCCATATTAGTCACGTGGACTTCCAGAAGAGGAATCTTGTGCTGCTTTGGAGAAAGTTTCCAATAGCCAGTGCTGATGTCTGGTGGTGCTTTGACAATCATACTCATAAATCTCAACATGTCTTTCTGTTTTTCAACTATATTCTGCTCCCATTCCATCATATCTTCAAAGGCAGCAGCACAGTCCTGTTGTATAGTTGGTGCCTGTGATTTGTCCCAACATCTCTCCAGACATGAACTATCTGATACAGGTGACATGATTTTCATGTTTCCAGTTACAGAGACTTTGATGCTCCTCAACAATAGCAGGCTTTCTGGATGGTCAAAAAAATACGGTAAATTAAGCATATCCAAAGTCAGGGTTCTCCCTTGAAGGAATTGCAAAATAAATGGAGAACATGCTTCAACAGTGTTGCTTTGATAAGCAATTTTTATAGCAAAAGTCAGTAAATGTTTTGAAACCAGTGAAAAGCAATCTTCTGGAGATAATTGCCACAATGACCTATATAGGCACACGCTCTCTGAAACTTCCGGATGGTGCTTCAGATCGTCTTTTTCAGATAGATTCTCCAATGACTTTTTGTTGTCCAACAAATGAAGCAAATGAGATACAATTTTTGGCCCTGCCTTTGTTGAAGGGTAGCAGGAGACATACATCAAAAAATTCTTACAGGAACTTAAAGTCATCATGGAAGAGTGGATTTGTTTCAAATAATAAAGTCCCAAGTCTTGATCTTCTTGCCTATCGGAATCCAGGAGTACTATCAGCCCCATCCCAGCAAGAAATTCTTGGAATGCAGGATCTAAAAACTGATAGACTGGTCTCAGTCTCTGGGCTGTGAATTTACTCATCAGGCACATGGTTAGATCTTCATCTTCGTCAACTCCTGCTTCTACAAGGTCATCATCACTAAACTCAAAGCAAGAAGAGAAAAACCCTTTCAAGGCCAGCTTACCACAGGAGGACACATTTGCTTTGAAACGTTCAGCTGAAAGTTTGTGCTTTAAGGATAGGCATTCTATATAGGATTTGAAAACAGTCACATGATCATAGGACCGGTCAAAAGGGTTTCGAAACCAATTAGCACAAACTGCTGCTACAAAAAGAGGAGTTTTCTGAATTCCCTGCATATCTGCATTCATTTTAAAGTGAATCATAAACTTTTGCAGACGGATCAAATCATGAGAAAAAAACTTCCGTAATATGTAGACAGTATTATAGAAGGGAAACGCTTTGATCTCTAGAATCGTATGTAGGTACTGTCGGATGTCCTTGGTCCTGTTTGTGCGGACGGCAATCAATAAACAGGTCCTTGATGAGTGGTTCTTATGAATCAGTTTTTGTATGACTTGAGGGACTGAGCACATTTCTTTGTAGTCATCCAAAAGGAATAACACCTGATTCTTTAACTGCTGCATGATGTTCCTTAGGGACATTTCAGTAACAGATCCTTCTGTCTCTAGGAGTTGGTCACAAATGATGTTGGCCAGCCCTTGGTCTAGTCTGGTAGAGTTAAGGGAGAGATAGAAGACCAGCTGGAACCTGTTTAACAAGGGACAGCATCCTGATGCCCATAGAAGAGCTATTTTCTTCAGGAGGACTGTCTTTCCACTACCAGCTTCACCCTCCACACACATGACAGAGTTCAAGTTGGCAAAGACATCAGACAACAGTACAGGCTTTTGCACAGGAGTGCTGATGTGTTTTGAAGCAAGGGACAGATCACAACTCAGCAAGTGGTCTGTGGCCAGACTGGAAGAGACCTCAAGCATATACATGCGGCGGAAACTGGCATCGGTGTAGGCTTCTTTCAGTCGCTGGTTCAGGCTTTTTGCCTCCTCAAACCACTGGGCTTCACTCTGGGCTGTCTCTGTGGAAAGAAGAAAGGAGGCACAAATACAAATCCTCTCTCTTTTAAAATCCCCTACATATAAATATATGTACACATATACAGGGTGTCCCAAAAAATGTATACACACACGTTATCAGCTGATTTCTATTACATTTTGAAAATCAAATGTATTTTAATAAACACTGCCCTTATTATTTTGGGGGGGCACCCTGTATATAATCCCATGAGCTATTTCAAAATCCTTACCTGGCACTAGAGAACTAACTGCTGCTGAATCTTCAAGACTGGTTTCACTTATGGTTTCCTTTGAAAATAAAATCCACTATTAAATAAATATTTATATAAGGGTGAGGTATCATGTTACAATTGGGGACCAAACATTACTGAAATACAACCCACCCTCAAATATTTATGCCTGTTGAAAAGAGGAATGCTACAAATATGGAGCAATACATGATCTCCAAACTCCTCAAGTGTGTGCTCCTAAGTGGCACACACCGGGGAGTCAAGCAGAGATTACTGTCCAGGTAATCAGAATCATAACATCTAGTGCAAGACAGCCCTCCAAAAATCATTAGATACAGCTACTGACCTAAGTTATTAACATGTTTAATATTACATACCTGCAGTGTAGGAAGGTTATGTTTCTTCCTTAAAAAGTAAGCCATTTAAATATCCCCAAGCTTTTTTCTTCAATTTCATTTTTCAGCTAACAAATATAAACTTAAACCAAATGAATAGCCAGTTACTTTTTATTTCTGTGGGGTGACAAACCTAATATACCTAACATACAGCCTCAAATAAGGTATGTAGGTGTGTATGTGTATATGTGCGTGCGCATGTGAAATTGATAACGGCTTATATCCCAGAGAACTATGACCCATTTAAAGGGGTCAACCTATTATCTGGGTTTATGATTTCGTTGGTCATTTGTTTTTGTAAAAGAAATATCTTTCCAGCCCTGAGAATGGCCAAGTAGCAAGTCAGACCTTATTGTCCTCCAAGTGAAGATTGCGTGGATCTGAGCACCTCTGAGTCTAAAAGAGTCTGGGCCCCAAAGTAGAAGGGATTGACTCTACATTTAATGAAGCGAGGTATTATATCTTATTTACTGTAGTATTCCCATCTGCACCTAACACATCATAGATGCTTAATAGGTACTTGTTAAATTTATTTATTTACTTATTTAGGATAAGCAATTCCTGTTCAAACACAGTTTTCAACTATGTACTGCTAAAATAAACAAGATGGTGTTCATTACCGTCAATTCAGAAAGCTCATCGTGGCTCTGCAGGTCTGGAATCACTTCTGCAGAGGCCTTCAGATTTTGGAGAAACAGACAACTAAGCACAAAAGTTAAAAGTTATAAAATTAGTTGTAGGCAAGTAAGTCTTGGCATTAGGTTTTTAAAAATACTGTTAGAGTTTTAATGGGAAAATTTTAATATAAAATTGACATTTCTAGTGATCTGTTCTGTCAGTGTCATTATCAAGCAAGACATTCAGACTGTAGCTGTCAGCAATAGAAATGTAAGTGTTTTGTAAAGTAATGAGGGGGATAACACTCAAACATGAAACCAACTAAAATGAACCTAAAGAATCAAAAATAGAGAAGAAAGCACTGGCTGGTGTAGCTCAGTTGATTGGAGTATCATCCTGTACACCAAAAGATTGTGGGTTCTAATCCCAGTTAGGGCACATATGAGGCTATGGGTTTGATTCCTGGTCCATGCACATGCCAGGCACAGCTGATTGATGTTTCTGTGTGTGTGTGTGTGTGTGTGTGTCTCTTGATTTCTCAAATCAATTAAAAAGTGTGTGTGTGTGTGTGTGTGTGTGTGTGTGTGTGTGTCTCTCTCTCTTGATTTCTCAAATCAATTAAAAATAATTAATTTTTTTAAAATAGAGAAGAAAACTTTATGGATTCTGAAACAAAGAATAAAAGAGAGTAGAAAAACTGGTTACATCCAAATAAAGTCTAGAGTTGATAGTAAGGTATCAATGTTGGTTTCTTAATTTTGACAAATGTACCATGGTAATGTAATATATATTAGTATTAGGGGAAACTGGGTGTGGGATTATAGGAACTCAGTATTATCTTTGTACTTTTTCTCTAAATCTAAAATTAGTCCCCAAAAAAGGTTTATTTTTAAGCCTGGCTGGCATGGCTCAAAAATTGAACATTAACCTAAGAACCAGGAGATCAAGGTTCGATTCTTGGTCAGGGCACATGCCCAGTTGCAGGTTCAATCCCCAGTAGGGGGCGTGCAGGAGGCATCTAATCAATGATTCTCTTCATTGATGTTTCTAGCTCTCCCTCTTCCTTCCTCTCTGAAGTCAAAAAAAAAATGTATTTTTTTAAAAGGTTTATTTTTAAAACTTCCAGCAGAATGAAGACAAAAGAATGGCCACAAACATACTCTCTAAAAACTACTTACCAAGCATCATGAAACTGGAACATATTACTCTCTAAACCAGAGATGGGGAACCTTTTTACTGCCAAAGGCCATTTGGGTATTTATAACATCACTAGTGGCACGGTGCACAAAATTTGTGCACATTAAAAGGGAATTAATTAGAGGAAGTATTTTAATCAGCTTCACCTCAGTGCTGGGCGGGGACACACGCAGGCAGCGCCATGTCCCAGGCCAGGGATGCAGGCAGGCAGCTTCCCCTCAGCGCTGGGCAGGGATGCATGCAGGCAGTGTGACGTTAGCACTGGGCAGGCCTGCTCGCACCTTCGCTGGGGGTGGAAGTCCCCACACCCGTCCCCGCCCACCAGCTCCTGTGCACGTGTTGCCTGTTGACTGGTAAAGACTGGGACACCTTTAGGACCAATTAGCATATTACCTCTTTATATATATAGATTTGTGGGGCCATACAAAATTATCAACATAAAAATTATATTTGGTCAAACATTTAATTAACTCACCCATAATGCCTTGGCAGGGCCAGATCAAATGATTTTGCAGGCCTTACACAGCTTGCGGGTTGGACGTTCCCCATCCCTGCTCTAAACTTAGATATGATGTCTGCCTGAAGAACCAAGGGAGAAAATTCTAAAGAGCTCTGCCCTAAATAATTAACTTGGATAGGTGAGAATTATAAATGTCAGCAGGTAAATGAGAAAACTAGGAACAACCAACTGGCTTGGGCTTGTTTTCCTGCTGCAAAATCACAGAAAACCAGGAAAAAAAGCAAGAGGACACTCATTTTTATTTTCCTAGATGGCTTGGAGATGACTATAGAAATAGGAAAATAGCAAGTAGGACTTTTAATGTTTTTGTCCAAGGTCACTATGCAGATAGACCCATCAAGAAAAGTAAAAAATAGACTTTTTTCATACAAACAAACCCAATACAGTTAGTTGCCAGCAGACTTGCATTCCAAGAAATGTTAAAGGACGTTCTTCAGTTAAAAGGAAAATTATAACAGAAGGAATTCCAATTGGTCCTCCCAAAAGAATGAAAAATGCCAGGGATGGTAACTAAGTGGGTAAATATGCAAGACATTTTTTCTCTTTTTAAAATGTATTTAAAAGGTAATTGTTTAAAGCAAAGATATAATAATATATTGTGAGATTTATAATATGTATAATGGTAAAATCTATACTAATAAAAGGGTAATATGCTAATTAGACTAGACATCTTCCATACATCCTTCTGGACAAAGCCACAGGGGCAGAGGCCGAGGCAGAGGCAGTTAGGGGCAACCAGGCTGGCAGGGGAGGGCAGTTAGGGGAGACCAGGCAGGCAGGCAGGCGAGCAGTTAGGAGCCAGTGGTCCCAGATTGCAAGAGGGATGTCCAACTACCCATTTATCGGGCCTACACCGGCAGTCGGATATCCCCCGAGGGGTCCTGGAATTAAGAGGGTGCAGGACCGGCTGAGGGACCCTGCCCCTGTTCACGAATTTCATGCACTGGGCCTCTAGTATCTACACTAATAAAAGACAAAGATGCTAATTGACTATACCTTTGCCCAAGCCATGCCCACCAGCCTTTCAGAGTGACTATATGCAAATTAACCCAACCAAGATGGCAGCAGGCAACCACGGAGCTGGAGCAAGCAGGAGGCTTAGTTGCCCTGGCGATGGAAGAAACCAAGCTTCCTGCCAGCCCTGGCCAGCTGTAGCCTCCGCAAAAGGCAACGAAGTTTCAATTATAGAAGATAAATAAATCCCAGATAACTGCTTCCAGCCAGCCTCCACTGGGAGCTTGGGTGGCTGGGGGCCGTGGCCA